TGCAAGTGGTACTTGTTTACTGGGTATAGGTAGGTGCAAGTGGTTCTTATACACTGGTTATAGGTTAGCACTATTAGGGTCTGCCACCAATGTGGTGGACAGAAGTGGCGAGTGTGTGGTAGATGCAAGTGGTACTTGTTTACTGGGTATAGGTAGGTGCAAATGGTACTTATTCACAGTCATGGGTAGGTGCAAGTGGTACTTATATACTATCATAGGTACACTGGCTATATGTCAGCACTATTAGATTTGGTGGACAGAAGTGGCTAGTGTGTGGTAGATGCACGTGGTACTTGTTTACTGGTTATAGGCAGGTGCGTGTGGTACTTATACACTGGTTATAGGTCAGCACTAATAGGGTCTGCCACCAATGTGGTGAACAGAAGTGGCTACCAAGTGGTAGGCGCTCGTGACCCAGTTTCTCGAAACTGCGTGATCATTCACGAGGTCTCGATGACTATTCGTGGCTACACCTGGATGTTATGAGCATTCACTACTCATCCTCCCTTTGAAACGTCTATGTAGCAATATATGGGAAGTGATTGTATGTATCAAGTCATAGGTTACGGATATGTACTTTTACTGGCCCAATGCCATCTGTATCACATCTGCGTTCATTCTCGTGAACGTACAAGCTTACCAGATTATCACTATGGCCGCGATTGGTTCCATTGATGAACGTACAAGCTTACCAGTCTATCACCATGGCAGTGATTGGTTTCATTGATGAACGTACAAGCTTCCCAGTCTATCACTATGGCAGTGATTGGTTTCATTGATGAACGTACAAGCTTACCAGTCTATCACTATGGCAGTGATTGGTTTCATTGATGAACGTACAAGCTTATCAGTCTATCACTATGGCAGTGATTGGTTCCATTGATGAACGGACAAGCTTACCGGTCTATCACTATGGCAGTGATTGGTTCCATTGATGAACGTACAAGCTTACCAGTCTATTACTATGGCAGTGATTGATTCCATTGATGAACGTACAAGCTTACCAGTCTATCACTATGGCAGTGATTGGTTCCATTGATGAACGTACAAGCTTACCAGTCTCTATCACTATGGCAGTGATTGGTTCCATAGATGAACGTACAAGCTTACCAGTCTATCACTATGGCAGTGATTGGTTCCATTGATGAACGTATAAGCTTACCAGTCTATCACTATGGCAGTGATTGGTTCCATTGATGAACGTACAAGCTTACCAGTCTATCACTATGGCAATTTTAGATCTCCATGTATATTATTCACCTACTTAACTACATCCACCTCTTAAATTACACCAACCTACTCAATTACAACCACCTACTGTGTTATACCCACCCACTAAACAATACCTCCTCGTCCCTTACATCCACCTCCTGTCGCATGCAGTGGTTGTGCTGGGTGCCTTTGGTGTCCTAATGATGGCTGCGTCGGCCCCACCCAACTACTCTGAACTACACGCCGACAATGGCAAAGGCGCCAAGAAAGTGCTGTGGCGCAAACGGTCCAAACTCCCCATTCGCCAGGTGAGAGGACTGCTGCACCCGCAGAGGACCTGGCGCTATATCTGTGATGATAGAGGAGGGTTCATTGTGGGTGATTTGTACTGATTGAGGGGTGTGCATTTGGGCCTATTTGTACTGATTGAGTGGTGTGAATGTGTCGTATATGTGCTGATTGAGGTGTGTGCATTTGGACCTATTTGTACTGATTGGGGGGTGTGAATGTGTCGTATATGCACTAATTGAGGGGTGTGCATTTGTGCCTACTTGTACTGATTCCGGGGTGTGCATTTGTACCTATTTCTACTGATTGAGGGGTGTGAATGTGTCGTATATGTGCTGAATGAGGGGTGTGCGTTTGGGCCTATTTGTATCATTGAGGTACCCGGTTGTACTCGTGCAGGTTGTGAACTTTTTCTTTGCGATTCAAGCGGTGTATAATGGAGACAACGACATCTGTTATTATGTCCACTGCACAGTGTTGTGTAGGCTTGGCTGTGTAGGCTTGGTTTGTTGTGTCTCATTCGGTCTCTGTTACACTATCGGTGTACACACAGCACCCCGTTGTGTGCACGACTATGTCGACGTGAGAGTGAGGTTCACTCGCATCGCATGGATCGTTCGAATTCACTGCAGGGTGTCCTGTCCTAATCACAATAAGGTGTCGTGTCCTTTCCTAAACAGGTTTAGGGCAATGCTATCACAAGGCCCGTGGTCTGTATTCACTTGACTGTGGCATCCCACCCGTACAATCGCTTGCATGGCCATGTCACCGCTGGCCCTCATTGTCCGTCCATGCGCCATCTCTTCGCTTTTTCTCCACACAGCACGTGGCCACCGCGGGGACAGGCCGGCGAATGAATCTCTACAACCACGCACACAACACCCAACACACCCACGTACACACCACACCGTCACTAGCAAGCATGCGCCCCCACGCCCCTCCCTCGTCGGCTGTGGATATGCTGAGTGATGTGACGAGTGCCCTGCAACGCGATCTCAGCGCCAGCTACACGTCAGGAGGTGGACACAGAAGCATGGACATGGACATGGACGCTCTGGGCATGTGCGACACAGACGGGTACGAGGAAGAAGAAGGCAGCTCCAAGACTAACCTCTACTCGGAATCAGAGGAGCTTGAAATAGGTGGGTGGGTGAGTGGGTGTGTGGCTGTTATGGGTGGGTGACTGTGTGGCTGTGATGGGTGGGTGGCTGTGTGGCTGTGATGGGTGGGTGACTGTGTGGCTGTGATGGGTGGGTGGCTGTGATGGGCGGATGAGTATGTGACTGTGTGGCTGTTATGGGTGGGTGAGTGTGTGACTGTGTTGGGTGGGTGAGTGTGTGGCTGTGATGAGTGGGTGTTTGCGTGGCTGTGATGGGTGGGTGAGTGTGGGGCTGTG